GGAGACATTCATCATTATCTCAAATTTATGATGTATATTATCCATCTAATTCAAAAACCCATAATAAAGTAAGATAACAAACCTTATTCCATTACTTGGATTATTTAAAATTCAAATTCCTCCATTTACTTATGTGTAGTTATTATTATTATTATTATTTTGTTTTTGCATAAATACATGTGTCGATGTTGCACGACCAATGTACGTTGTCTACAAAAGAAGAAAAAATGTTTAGTTTCTCATTTTTGTTATTGTACATGTAAATTTTTATCCTTCCTATTTTTGAAGACATTATATTCAATTACAATATTTAATTTTTTAAATATGTTTAAACTCAAAAATATATTTAAACGTATCATTTAAATATTTTAAGCACATATATTCATCAATAATTTACTCTTTAAACTAATTATCTCATATACCAAGTCCCTTCTCGAAAACATTGTGAGGCATCGGGCAAAAATATTCAACACTCATATTCTTCCGGTATTCCACACATTGGGAAAAAAAATACAATTAGCAATCTTGTGTTTACGTTAACAAATCATGAAGTTTGTATGTAATTTAATTACTTCTCTATTTTATCATTACAAATACGTTTAGTTTTTTCTATTATGGCTTTTTTTTGTGTGTGTATGTGTGATTTTTTTGGCTTTCTTATTTGAATAATGTGATTATAAGATCATGCTAGCCGCAGTTTAGTGCTGGTTTTATTTACTTTTTTTTAGCATCAATTTAATTGGCCGTGAATAGAAAGAGGCGTCGGTGCGAAGTAGTGTTTCTCTCTTCCCGCGATTTTCTATTAGGGGCGAAATATGGGTTTCCCCTTGCTGCCGGTTGCTTAAAAAGAAAAAGAGGGTGGCACTGGTTGTTTTATTAGCTGATAGTTATTAAAAAAAAAAAGATTTTGAGGCTGCGCCAAGTTAATTATATATATATATATATATATATATAAAGCCAGTTAGGTACTTGCTATTTTGATATTTTCCTTTTGGCTGCTGAGTTTGGCCGAGAGTAATTGGGTTCTGTTGGGGGCTGTGCACATGAGATGTGTACCTGGTTAGTAATTAGCCGCCTAGGAGTGAAAAAAAAAAAGAAAGAAAAAAGTGAGAAGCATCGTGTGCGTTTTCTTTTTAGCCATGCAAAGATATAAGAACATATTGTTGATTGATGAGCAGGCTGTTTGGTGTGGTTTGTGGTGTTTTTTTTTGGGTCATTTGACATTTAAACTGAGTAGCTTCTTTGGTGAAAAGATTGAGTAGTTCGTGCAAAACAAAAGTAAAGCAGGCTGCTCATTGTTTAAAAAAGGGTTTGGTCGAAGTTGAAAACAAGAGAGTCAAGTGTCGTTATTTCAATAAAGGATTCGGTTCCATAGCAAAATATGACAAGAAGAGTAGCAGCTGGCTTGATTACCTTTCATTGACTTCAAGGGTGATGAAGAATACATCGGAGATGTTAAAAACTTTGTCAAGGTACGTATCAAAAGGGCTTTAATTAATTTAAAATTGAAAAATTATTGTTACAGTGACTTTTGATTTACTGATTCACATTTTTTGGGGATTCTAATTTTGTAAAAGCTGAAAAGGATAAGAAGGTGGAGGATGGTACTGGGTTTTCAAAACTCGGAAATTTCGGAGTTCGACAACTCCGAGGAAACATCGGTCTCTTTCTCATCTTCAAACTCCTGGAAATGGAGCATTAGGCCTAAAAACGCTGCCCTTGAAGTAAAGAAAAATATAACTGGGAATACCCAACTCATTGCCAACATTAATCATGGAAGTGAAAAACATGTCAACCGCTATTCCGGCGAGTCGTCTCGATTCTCCTGTGAAATAAAGATTGTTGGAATCGCATTGAAAGGAAAATTTAAATGTATTTGCTCACTTCCAAGAAAAATATCCACATTGAGATGTAAATTTTGTACTGATTTTTGTACAAATTTTAAAATTTAATGTACTAGAACCGAAGAAGTACTTGATTATTATATATGAAATAATAAGGGAGTATTTAGATTTTTGGACAATGATTATTCAATTAGTGGTTCTGTCGTGCTCAGATAGAAGACGGAATGCATGCATCATCCAAAGTTACTGACCACTACTTACTATTGATATATTTTTAGCACAGGAACTGATATCTAACCTGATTTACGTTGGGTGTTTGAGAACTTTGTTTTCTTTTTCTTTATTAAAATAAATAGCTAAGAATTTTTTCAGTTTAGTTTATGTACCACTGGGGTTGATGGTATTAATAAGTCCATACAATACAATTTTTTTTAATTGTAAGTTAGTGATTCTATTGTAAGAATCCTCATACTAATTTAACAAAAATTAAAACTGGTTAAGACTAAACCACCTTATGACGGACTTTTTTTAAGTCACCATATATGACAATGGTTTATGTTTAAAAAATTTTTACTCATCGACATGTTAACAAAATTTATTTATTGCATTTCAAATGAGATGTTTGATGGTTAACTCCACGCAATTCTCTGAGGTGTTTCTCCGTCTTTTTTTTTTGTTTTGAATGTTTACCCCTGCGGCTTGACCATAGAAATCCATATATATGCCTGAGGAGCTAACTTCCGATTTTATTTTATGACGTGATTATTATGTGTAAAATTGATAGTTACAAAGCAACGTTGGAGCATATATTAATAAACCATTTTCTTTAGAAAACATAAATGATAAGATTATTAATGAAAAGAACTTCACTGATAAGATTATGTACAAGTTGTTGAGATAAGATTTACGTCATTAATTTACGGATAAGATTATTAGACACGTAAATAAGTAAAATAAATAAATTACTCAATAAAATTTACTACAACCGAGTAAACTTGATTTTTTTAATTGGCTTTTGGCTCCATCAACATTTTTCGCAAAAATACCATCAAACAAGACAAAATCGACTGGGGGAGAAAAAAAACAAAATAAAGAAGAAAAATAACGAATATCCCTTGGATTGTTTAAAAAAGAAAAATCAATAACTGGAGCCTAGAATAGGAAAAAAAACAAACAAATAGACTTCTTTCGATTTAAAAAAAATTCCTCGGAATTGGTAAGACCTCTGACGAAATTAAAAGCAAAGTAAATCAAACATGATGAAATTATTATTGAAATATCTCAAACTAAACAGTTTGTAATTATTTGTTTTCACCCCGTATTTTTCGACAATCTTTATTTCACATAATTATGTTGGAAAAATTTCACAACCCACACAACATGCGGGCCACCCATTAATTAATAGTGTACAGTTGGTTAACAACCTCAACATTTATTTAATCTAGGGCTGGCAAAAATACCCAAACTCATTGAGATTCTAATGTGATTCTTATTAAATGGGATCCTTATTAAATGGATGGGTAAATCCCTCCCATATTTTATAAGACACACACAAATAAGTGTTAATTGTGGACGGGTAAATATTGAGTTTGGGCTTGGGTCCCATTGGAATCTTTTGGGTACTAATTAAATTATATGGATTGTTCTCATCTTTCCAATTTTACTATTTTTCACTCTCAATCGGTCCCACCTCCACCGCCATTGCCACCTCTACCCCTACCGCCACTGCCACCGCCACCGCCACCTCTAGTATAATCCGCTAGTGTTCAACCACCGCGTAGGGAAGACCCATCTCCAATCACCATAATTTGATAATGTTAACATCCATCGAAAATTGAATCCACCGTAAGGGACGAAAAGAAAGAAACCAAAAAAAAGAAAAAAGAGGAAGGAATTACAATGTTAACAGTATCCAGAGTTAGCATCTCAACCCCAAAATTAATCTAAGCCAAGGCATCTTCATCGGACTCCACAAAACTTCCGGCCCAGACAATCAAGTTTTCCTAGTAGAACAGGGGAAGCAGAGAAAAGCTTAATTATGTCCGACTGGTGGGCGCTGCGCCAGATAAAATCTCCGAGAAGGTGGCGGAGAGCATTAAGGCGGCGGAGGAGTCATGTGCCAGTGACCCAGTTAGCGAGGATTGCGCGGCGGCGTGGGATGAGGTGGAGGAGATGAGCGCCGCCGCCAGCCACGCCAGGGACTGGAAGAAGGAGGTGGATGTTTTGAAATTACATTATTGTCAATAATTAAATGGGAGAAATGACCGTAATAATAATAAAAAATATTAATGAAAATGGGAGTATCCCATTCGGAACCCAATAATTGTACTTTATGAGATCCTAATGGTTAGTGGGCTGGCTACTCGTTTATAAATCCCTACCCGATCCTGATTATGTGTAAAATAATAAGTAATTAAAATCTCATATCTAATAATTTCTCACCCACCCGCTCAATACCCGCCTTACCCACGTAATTGTGAGCTATAATTTAATCAACTGATTCATCTTCAAAGTAGGTTTTAAATATTTATTATTATTCGTACAATGTGATGTGATTAAAACAGCAAAGCAAAACCGTTATTGCACTAGGTTCCTAAATAAACGTAGGAAAATAATATATATGTTGACAGGTATGAAGTTGAATGTGATTTTTGAAATGCAATCAAAAAGCAAAGGAAAAAGAAAAATTGTACACTCACTAAATTTAAAATTGAAAATTATTTCGAAGGGAAATTGCTCCCTCTAAACTACAGATATAATACACATTATGAATTGAAAATTATCCTGTTTTCAACACAATCACAACTTAAAACATGAATTAGTTTTATGGAATGGAAAGAAAATTTTTTTCTCTTCTTTAAATATGAAATTGATAGAAACTACAACAATGAATAATAGCGATTTGAAAAGAGTGAAATTGAAAATGGAATAAACACAACTTAGTAGTCATTTAGGCATTATATTTTCATTAGTAACTATCTTATTTGAGTGTCATTCTTATTATTATTATTATTATTATGTTGGTGTCAGTACTCAAATTTATAATCGTCCAATTTCATTTATGAGGAAAACAGCTCTACCGACAACTTAAAAGATAAAATTTTGGAGTTTTAAAGGACAAAAATGACACTACCTAGTACCCGACAGCAAAAATGGCGGATTCTTCCTTCACAACTCAAAAGGGGTTTGTTCGTCCCAATGGAAACCCAAAAAGAAAAATGTTGTCATTTGAAAAAAAAAATAAAAATATTTTTGGACGGAGGAAAAAATAAACATTTAAAACAGTCAATTAAATTATAAAGAAACTGAAATGAAATGTAGAAAGTTTTTGTGGGTTTCTGTGGGAATAAAACACGTTTTTGACAAAATTGGATAGTGAAAAATAATAAATAAAATCCTAGTATTATGTGTCCATCAATCATCATGCGTGACGAGATCCGTACCTTCCGGGAGATATGCAATTCATTATTCCAATCAATCAATATAAGACTCCACTTTGGTCAATTCATTGCTCCACTAATAAACCAGTTACTCTCACTTCTGAAACCCAAAAGCTGAAGCAGAAAATGAAGACTGTCTGTGTTACTGGAGGTTCTGGATTCATTGCTTCATGGGTTGTCAAGTTCTTGCTTCAGAAGGGTTATACTGTCAAGGCCTCTGTTCGTAATCCTGGTAAAGTCCCTGATTCCATCTGGGTTTTCCATTTATTCATTCATTCTTCTTCTTCTTGAAACAAGATGCAATTTTGGGATATGGGTTGTCAACTTTATACTTATTTATGTGAGAAATCATGGATGAGATCTTCAGTGATTGGAAATTGATGTGTAATCGAAAGTGACCCTTTTGATATAGAACACCTTCTTTTTGTGGATTGCCATTTATATGCTTTCTTGTTGTGGTTCACTCCTCTGATTAGGTGCTCATAGTGTTAATGATTTGGCAATGAACTCTGATATGTGGTTGTGGTGAAATTGTTTTGCAGGTGATCCGAAGAAGGTTGAACACTTGCTGGCTCTTGATGGGGCTAAGGAAAGACTCCATCTGTTCAAGGCAAATCTATTAGAAGAAGGTTCCTTTGATGCTGAAATTACTGGCTGTGACGGGGTTTTCCATATGGCATCTCCTTTCTTCCATAATGTCGCTGATCCTCAGGTTCGTTGGATCATTTTTATTTTGCTGATTTCGGTGTTTCATCTGATGATTATATTATATTCTCCAAAAATTATAGAATACTGATGCTTGAATAATATTCCTTTAGCTATTGATCTTTGTTTTTCTTATGGGTCAACGTGCATTTTAGATATATTAATTTTTTTTTGTTAATAATTGGAAAATTGGATTTTCCTTTGCATTTCTGTGAGGATTTGGTTCTTTTGTTCCTTCTCATTGCCAATATCTAAATGCTTTTGTGATATCGCTGCAGGCTGAATTGATTGATCCTGCTGTAAATGGGACTCTGAACGTGCTTAGATCATGTGCCAAATCACCTTCTGTTAAAAGGGTTGTATTGACATCCTCTATAGCTGCAGTTGCCTTCAATGGCAAGCCTCGTACGGCTGATACAGTGATCGATGAGTCTTGGTGGAGTCTTCCCGATTTGTGCCGCCAAAATAGGGTAACTGACTTTTGCTTTGATTTATGTCAGGAAATTTGTGAGTTTTATGAATTTAGATGTGAACTTCCAAAAAGATTGACCTTCACACTTCCTAGTCACATCCTTTCCCTTTATTTCTCTTCGGGCTCTCTACTGTTGTAGGGACTGTTAAATTGTTGTGCATATCTAAGAACTAGAAAAAAGAAGCCATAGGGATATGACCATTTTGGAAATTCCTGTTAAGGAGTGAGGAGAAGAAGGAATATAGAGACTGAGGTAGGCTCCTGATTTAGAAAATTGAAGGTGTTAATTTTTGTACTTTTTCTGACAACTCTGCCGAGCCTTAGCTCATCGACTATATCGTGTCTGTGAATTCTTAAGTTCTGTTAAAAATAAGTAGGATCCAATGCCTAATGCTTCTTGGCTGATTTAAGAGTATATTTAGAATGACAGCAAATTGGTTTTAGTTGAAAGCCTCTCAGCAAGAAAGAACTCCTCATGATGATGCATACTTCCTGTCTAATTTGCTGCAAAATGGATCTTAATTATCATTCTGTTCTATTTTTTCATCAGATGTGGTATGTTCTCTCAAAGACATTGGCTGAGGAAGAAGCCTGGAAGTTTGCAAAAGAGAAAGGCATAGACCTGGTTACCATAAATCCATTTATGGTTATTGGTCCTCTCCTGCAGCCTACACTGAACACAAGTGCTACTTATATTTTGAACTATATCAGTGGTATGTTTTTCACTCCAAAAAATACACAATCTACCTGCTATGAAGATGTTCGCATTTGAGGCAAATTTGAATATCAAATTTGGAAAAAACTCTATCGTGCTTTCGAATCAATCTTCTGATAGTTTTGGAGATACACAGATGTAGTAGAAGAATGAAAAATAGGTGATGGATAAGAATGATTTCCTCTTGCATATGCCTGTTGTTCGAAACACTGGTTGACTAGTCCATAGACAGTTGAAGTGATGGACTACTCTGAAACGTTTCCAATAGCACTAACTTTGGTGCTACATCCATTGGCTAACAGAATTTTATATAATTTAAGAATGATTTTAATATGCCATGTAGAAATGAATGTGATAAAGTGTGGTGGTAGAAATGTGATCCTGTTAAGTAGTGGACTCATTTTTATCTTGATTGTGCTTTTGGTCAGTACACTTTTAGCATAGACATTTGTATAGTCTGTATACTGTTGTTTACATCTGTTTAGGGAATATCTTGAGACAAACATTGCATTCTGTAGTATTTAAATGTGTGTTGCTTTGGGTCGTGATTTTATCAAGGGAGTTTTCCATGGTCCTCTGTTGTCCTTTTCATCTGAAAGTTTGTAGTCGTTTATAATTTGAATTATAAATAAACTGATCAGGATAATATCATGAAAAGCGTACTTATTTAGTAAAATAATTGCTGGTGACTTAGATCCTTTTATGGATAAGCTTTTTTTTGTTGCTCCTAATTTCTGTCTCATTTCGTTTTAAAGAATAATAGTATCAATATGATACTTATGTTTCTTTTCTTGCATGTCCTGACACATCAAGTTATTGCTTCTAACATAATATAGGTGCTGAAACATATCAAAATGGAACATCTGGCTGGGTTAATGTGAAAGATGTTGCCAATGCCCATATTCTAGCTTTTGAAAATCCATCAGCCAATGGGAGATACTGTGTGGTTGAAAGTGTGGTGCACAACTCTAAAATTGTGCAGCTATTGCGTGAACTTTATCCTTCCATGAAACTTCCAGAGAAGTAAGTTGACCGTTGTGATTTAGATTTGGGATCCATTTAATTCAACAATTTAACTTGTGTGATCTATTTTTGAGGTTATGGTGATTCATGTATGTTTTTGTTTTACTTTCTTCCTTGTCTGATAGGATTGAATATGAATAATCTTCCTGACCTGTTAACACTCCACTTGCATGCATTTGATTACGGATACTCTGTAATTGCCAAAATATGACTTCTTTCTTTTGCGTATGTGGACTTCAAAGATGCAGTTTTTATGTCCATTAGAGCAATATTTAGTGTCTGAACAGATATTGTCACATTTAGTATTCTTCTGGTCCGGTATATAATGGAAATCTCAAATATGTTGAATCTTATCTATCACATAAATTATGAGAAAATGACCCTAAGGCTTCAGGAATCTGTTGGAAAACTTTTTGCATTGCTAAGTACATAAAGTAGACGAGGAAAAGATGCAGCAGTAGCTTTGCGGTAGCTTTGTTGAAACTTCAAATTGATTCTCTCTTAGCTTCTATCTATGTCATCATAATTGTACATCTGCATTGGTTATCCTGGTACTCTTTACATTTTACAACAAAATTATGATGGTAATGCTAGTTCATATTATGGAGGACTTAAGTATGAAATCCTTTTAAATAGGACAAGTTGCTGCAATAATTGCTGCAATAATAGTTCCCTTAAGTTTTAATAGCTAAGATAATGCTAGGTCTTACTATGATAAAATCAAATGTTGGCTACCTAATGAGGATCCCACCTGACATTGAATCCTTAACTAGTATATTAGAAGAATACAAGGCAGAAAAAAGTGTCCGCACTTCGAGAATGGGTTCTTGGATAGTTAGGTCATAGGTGTTTGTCAAAGACGATATATTTGGTTGCTCACGAGTGAGCTTGGATCTCGTTTTGTTTATCTATGTTCATTTTGGTTGCTAATTTACTTGTGAAACACTGCTAAGGAAGACGGAAGTATCATGTTTTAATCTACATTTGCAGCTTTGCTTGTGAAATATTTTCGTTGTCATCCAGCTTCTAATGCAATTTTTGGGTCTAATTATGCTTATAGGTGTGCTGATAACCAGCCATTTGCAGCAGAGTACAAGATATCCAACGAAAAGATAAAAAGCTTAGGCCTCGAGTTCACTCCTCTTAAACAAAGCCTCAAGGAAACTGTTGATAGCCTGATCGAGAAGAAATTTGCGAACCCTCCTGATGCAAAGTGATGTTGATGTTGCGAAGTTTGGTGAGGTTTTAGCTTGGTACGAACGGCTCATGAATAAATTGTTCTAAGACTTGTGTATTGGGCATCTATAATCACATTTGAATAAATCTACTTATCGCCACTGCTGTAGATGGTGATTGTAATATTTAGTGTGTAATGGTTGTGTGACTATTCTCCCGTGTTCATCTAAATCCTTTCTTCTGTTTCTCTCTGCTTTGTGTTTTCCTTATCTGTGTTATTACTGTTGAATTTCAACGCGTAAAATAAGTATACCCGTTTGAATAAACAGGATTTTTTTTCCTACAAACTTAGCTCTTTATAAGTTTTTTCTTCCACTTATGGCCTCAAACATCAAAATCTTAAAGATTGAAGCATAAATTGAAGGAACCATTCTATGATGGATGTCTATTGAGACCAAATTGCACTACAAAGACAAAGGTCCCAACAATGTATTCTATGAATTTAGATATACTAAAGTTACATTTCAGTTTCAAATTCAAATCATAAAAGACATTGTAACTCTCAAAATGGACATTTTGACGTTACTATTCCATAACAAATGTATAAACTTAAGTGTCAGGCTCAAATAAACACTTTTTGATATGATCATAAATAATTAGTTGAGAGGCGTACCTAACAATGATAATCGATCATATAATGGTTGGTTAAAACCATATTAATATTCGGGCATTCCCAACAGTTGCACCAATTTGGTGCACACTAAATCATCGACTTAGTGTTTTAGTGACTGCACGCAACTATCAACACCTAATTCCATACACAAAAATGAATATTCCTCGTGTATCCCTTTTTTAAAATGTAAGTTTATCAAATTACAAAAAAATATCCCAATTGTAGATATTCCTCATGCAACTAAATTTTTTTCATTTAAAAGCTTCACAAAAAAAGAAAAACGATAAAAAAATTTGATTTGGGAAGCCATAGTTCATCAAACTAATAGTTAAGATAGCAGTCTTTTATACAAATAAAACAATTAAACTTGTAATGACATTACAAAGACAAAAAGAATCATTTAAGATATTATATGAATTCAATAAGTTTAGGGCGTATCCACAATAGCTATAAATTATATATTACTTATTTTATTGGGGCTGCTAATAAAACTCCAAACTTAAAGTTTAAAAAATAATAAAAAACTCTCAGTACCCATGTGTACTTGCTGTTCATGAAGCACCCATTTAGTGTAATAAATAGTAGACCCTTGGGCGTTTTTTTTTTTTTTAGGAAATATCAACTCTTATAAATAACGCTGGAATCAGCCAGCACTGAGTGATAACCTCCAGCCAGCACTGAGTGATAATCAATTCGGAGGTGACAGACCAAAAGTGTCCTTCACAGAACAAGTTTTTGCATAAGATGCAATTTCATGAGCAATCATATTTTGATCCCTGCCTACCCAAAAGAGATTACGATGAGAAAACTTTTGTAAAAGATGTTGAATCTCCAAACTGATAGGAAGAGCTGAATGCGGGCTATCTTGATCACCTCTGGCTACCAAAATGGAGCTAAGAGAATCACCCACAACCTCGAAGTCCTTCAGGGAAAGATTGGACGCAAGGAGTAATGCTTCTTTCAGCGCAACAAGTTCTGCAATGCCCGGATCAGTGATGTTCTTTGCATGGGAGGCAAAAGCATGAAGGAATTCGCCATCAGGAGATTCAATGTAAACACCCAAACCAGCCACCTTGTTCCAACAAGAGATGCCGGTGTCGAAGAAGATAGTAATAACCCCATATGCCGGCTGTAGTACTGAATCTACATCAAATTTCGACATCTCAACGTTTTCAGCCCTTGCAGCTCTCCAAGATTTCAACATAGTAGTCGCGGACGGCAAAACACTCCACGGAGAAGTGTTCTTCTGCTAAAAAATTTTCTCATTCCGATGTTGCCACAAGGCATTACACATGAAGCCAAAGTGCCCAGACTTGTCTCTGTCTAGCGCCAGTAGCAACTGTTCAAACCATTGCTCAGAATGTTGCTGTTGTACATGAAGAATAAGCTCCTTCAATCCCGCTAATGACCACACTTGTTGCGAGAAAGTGCACAGAAAAAATAAGTGGTTTGTGCTACAGTCTAAAGCCCCACAAAAACAGCAATGAGGATCATAATGAAGATGTCTCAAGGCTAAGTTCTCTGAAGTCGGCAGCAAATTATTAAGACATTTCCACAGGAAGTGCAAAATGGGGGAGACAACTTCCACAACTTCTTCCTCGAATAAGTGGATGAATCTGAAGGTCCAGGGACAGAATTATGAAGACTGAGGGCAAGGTGATAAGCTGACTTGACTGAGTGTTTGCCTGATCGATTTGCTCCCCAAATGTAAGCATCCCGTGATTGCAGGTTGCTCAATTGAAGTGACAGGATCTGATTAGCTTCCTGTGGACTGAAAGTTTCACGAATCAATGCCGCCTTCCAGTGTCTTCGTCAATAAGGGAGCTGACCGGACTATCGACCGTCAGGGACGTGGTTGGAGGAGTTGTAATCCAGAAATGAGCTTCCGAAAGCCATTCTTCTTTCCAAATCATAGTGGTCTGTCCGCTCATGATCATCTTTCGAACACCAATCTCCAAAAGAGATTTCCCCTCTATGACACTCCGCCACAGCCACGATGAATTCGGGCTCGCTATAGCTTGTAGAAAAGGCACATCCGGGGAATATCTGGCTTTTAAAACCCTCGCAAGCAAAGAACTAGGGTTAGTGAGTAGTTGCCAAGCCTGGTTTCTTAACATCGCTTGATTATAGCATCGCAAATCCCTGAATCCTAGGCCTCCTGCCTCCTTGCCTCACGCCATCGCTTTCCATGAGCTCCATCAAATTTTATGGTGTTTCCACTATCCCCCTACCAGAAGGAACTCATCATTCTCTGAATCTCACGTAGCACACTATCTGGAAGCATGAAACAACTCATGGTATATGTGGGTATCGCTTGAACAATGGACTTCAACAAAATCTCCTTCCCTCCCTTAGATAGATGTTTCTCCTTCCAACCAGCCAACTTCTTCCAGATTTTGTCCTTGATGTTGGAGAACATAGCACTCTTGTTTCGCCCGATTGATGAAGGAAGACCCAAGTATTTCCCATGGTCTGAGACACCGGGAATGCCAAGAGTCTCGCTTATTGAGGATCTGATGGCTGGTGGTGTATTTGGAGAGAATAAATGCCAGACTTGTCCAAATTAATTCTTTGCTTCGACACTCGTTCATAGAGGTTGATAGCATACTGAAGTTGGGAAGCCTCCTCCATTGTAGCATGGCCAAATAAGAGAGTATCATCAGCAAAAAAGAGACGAGAGATGGTGGGCGCGGATCTTGACACCGAAATGCCATGAATTCGGCCACACGATTGCAAATCCTGGAGAATACATGAGAAGACCTCCGAGCAAATGATAAAGAGATAGGTGACAAAGGATCACCCTGGTGAATTCCACGTTGCGGGACCAAAGAACCTAACTCAGCTCCATTAAATAGAAAAGAGAAACAAACTGTGGAAATACATGTATAAATCAAATCAACCAAAGTATCACTAAAGCCAAGTGCTTTCATGACAGTGCATACAAATGACCACTCAACCTTATCAAAAGCCTTGCTCATATCTAACTTAATAAACATAAGTCTTGTCCCACCCGAATTCCTCAGCTTCATATAATGATGAGTCTCGTATACAATCAAAACGTTATCAGTGATCAATCTTCCTGGGATAAATGTTGACTGAGAAGGAGAAATGTTATCTGGAAGAATGGTTCTAATCCTATTTGCAAGGACCTTGAAAGCAAGTTTGTAGACTACATTACAAAGACTAATAGGCCGGAATTGGGTGATTAGGTCAGGTTTTATGGTTTTTGGGACGAGAACAATGCATGTATGGTTCATTGCACTATCAAAAACTTTATTATTCAAAAAATTTAAAACAAAAGAAATAATTCAGAACCAACAATATTCCAATAATTTTTGAAAAAGATAGGGCTCATACCATCCAGTCCCGGGGATTTGAAAGAATGCATTTGTTTAAGCACTTTTACCCTGTGTTTTCAAAATCGGACTAGCCCGGACGGTCTAACCGGTTAGCCCAGGAACAGGGAGCCTCACCGGTCCGGTTTCCATAAAAACCGAATTCTGTATAACCCGGTCAAACTTGGTCAAACCCGGACAAAATCGCAGTTTGACCGGAAACCGGTACCGGTTAAACCGGTTTTGCATATATTTCTTAAAAAATTAATTTTTAAATATTTTTTTAATATTATTTTAGCCAGTTTTCACTGGTTTCGAGGAACGAACTAACCCAATTAACCCCGATAAATCCACAAACCCGGTCACGCTAACGGTTCACCTTCCAGACCGGTTTTGAAAACATAGCTTTTACCACCTCAATCTCCGTAAAAGGCATCAATAACCGGCTGTTCATACTTTCATCAACTCTGGGACGGATGCGATTGATTGCTTGCTGTACATCTCTCTCAAGTGGACAAGATGAAGTGAAAATGTCTTTGAAATACTCCAAAGTAATACATTCGATATCCTTCTGTGAAGTGCATTCAACTCCATCATTATTTTTTAAGGACGATCTAAAATTTGTTTCACACCTCTTGTTGGCATAGGCATGAAAGAATTTGGTATTGCGGTCCCCTTCCTTGTACCAATGTTGTTAGCTTCTCTATTTCCACTTCAAATCATCTTGGTCAAGCAAGGATTCTAGTTGTGCTTTGAGACTCGTCAACTCAGCCTTATTTGCATCACTAATCAGCCCTGCCTCAAGCACCCGAATTTCCTTTTTCAGTTTTTCAATTAAATCCCCGATACCACCAGCAATACGACCACCCCAATGTAGCAAACCCACAACACATGTACTGATTTTTTAACTCAGATCACTCGATGTATGGCTCCAAGACTCCTTGATGATTCTCTTACAATCCTCAGATTTTACCCATAAGGCTTCAAACTGAAATGTTTTTTTCCTTGTAGCAGCATTTGCAATAGGGTTTGGGGAGAATTGGACATGAAGGATGTCATGGTCATAAGCAAAGGAAGGGCAATGGGAAACTCGTGATCATTTAAACATGTTCTTCGACAAAGAGTTGCAAGTGACCCCGTCCAGCCTTGCTCTTTGAGTGCGTGGCGCAACCAACAGGTGCAACCAAGTAAACTTTTGACCCTTATATCCCATATCTTGTAGCTTACATGCATCGAGGAAACCACGGAAAGAATCAATCTGCCATTTTGCTCTTCTCCCAACACCTTCGAACTCAGACTGAAGTAAAACCTCATTAAAGTCTCCGCCACAAATCCAAGGAATCTCCGGGTGTTCATAAAGGGATTTTAACTGATTCCAAGCCAACCGACGTTGAGCAACATCCGGTTCTCCATACA